TTCAAATTTAGGAAATTCTGTTTTTCTGGAATAATTGAGGTTTAACAATGTCAATGTATGACCTATTATACATTTTTGGAATCAGAATTATAAGCTCTATTTACCTGTGTAAGAATCCAATATGGCGTCTTCAAGAAAAAATAAAGTTGATACCAGAGGACAAGAGACGAAACGTCATATTAAAGTTTCAATTATGTCATCTTGTATAATCAAGCCGAATCGCACAGCAACCCTTTGTTGCGTGATTCAGTAGACTACACAGTCGAGCAAGTTCCAGGCTGCGCCTCGCACTGTGATCAAAATTAAATTGTAAATTCAGACCAGCCAAAATTATTTCAGTATACAAAACCGATCAAAATTATTTTTTGGAGTTACAAAATAATTCGAGTACTAGTCAAAGCAATAATGCTTAAGCTATTTCAAATGATTTACTTCTTTTCTTTGCTCTACTTTTTCCTTCCTTTCTTTCCTTATTTCCCTTTTCTCCTCAAACATGTTTGGTATCTGGGTAGCCAGACCTGACAGACTAACAGACCGACGAGACTTTTAACTGACGAATAATGACGAATAGTATAGTCATCTTGTAAAGGAGAAAAGGTGGCAATGTAAATGTGCTATTTATATTAAAACCCCACTACAAATAAAGTCAGGAAAACATTTAAACGATTTAGAGAAAATTGGATTTTTTCCGTCTCCCTCCGGAAGTACTTTGAATAATGTTAGTTACCTAAATACGCAACTATGCCCCCAAGTGACTTCGTATCTCTTACTGTCTCCGAGATCCCAATGGTGAGGGTCGAATTTGAAACACCCGTATAGTAATCACTATAAATCTAAAAGTAATACCTCTTAGTTTTCTCATAAAATATTAATACAGAACCAGGCAAGAAATATTCTCTGTAAACCGAGGAGTCCTAATACAGAAAATTAGGTCAGTCGTATATACCCTGAGAAAATAAGGAATAGAGGGAGAACATACATAATATAAATATATTGTTTTGATGTTTGGCAGTAATAGATATGCATGAGGTGATCCGGGGAACAATGAGGTTGAGGGTTTTGTTAACAGTCATGTGGGGAGGACCAGGTTTATAAGAAGAGTCTACCTGTGTGTAAGGCTGTAAGGGCGTCTTTGAACAACCCCTTTGCATTTTCAATGAATTGTCGATCTGAGAAATGCTATATAGAATAATATACAAGGTGAGTCAGATGAATAGGTACTTTAAGAGAAGATACAGCGAGAATGTGAAGCTATCTACAAAGAGAGGTTTACCTCAGTTTTAGTAAGATCGAGCAGTTCAAAACTAAAATCAATGAGATATTTTCAATTTCTTTAGGTTTTAATCTTGTGGCTACTTCAGCGAAAAAAGAAAAACTTTTGAGATGAAGTAGTATCAGTAAAATATTAACTAACTCTGTATAAAAGTGACCTTAGCATTTTGAAACCAGTTTAAACGAATTTGTGCATGCCCAATCCGGAAGATCTCAGTTGCTCATCTGATAAAAAATTCAAATTAGCAGCTAGAGAGCATCTAAATAGGGAAGTCGTTCATAATATTAATACTACGGGGCATCGCAGGATAACAGAGTTTATAGCCTCAAATCTAGAGCAACTATGCGTGCTGTCTAATTGCAATGAACTACTTTATGAGAATCAGGTCAAATACGATAATGTCTGGATCATGTTTTATTATGAAACATTATTAGGTAGGCACATGCATACTTATACGTCTTTAAATGGTAAAAGTATTGACCGACAGTTTGCCTATAAATTACAGATGACGTATACTTTTGTATCAATATGAAAATAGTTACAAAAACCATGATGAGATTGTTGTAGTGTAGATACTATTGTAGAAGAGCTTAGATTTAACTTGGAAAGGACCTGAAATTTAGAACGATCTTGTTTACATAAGATGATACTGTGATTTCAAAATTAGTGACAGAAAATCAGACGTTTTCAAGTTGAGATTTTGTTAACAGGTATAGGAGAGACAATTTGTTATTGTTTTGCCAACTATTTACTGTAGGGATGAATCAAGGTAATCGATAGCAGTATATATAGTATACAACAAAGTAACAAGTATCATTAATAATAACAATGAATAAAATTCTCATTTGCGGCGCCAGCATTGTAAGAAACAACAATTAATCGTTACATCGTTGAAACATCACTGTTTACAACTAGTCTGATCAAATAAAAATTAGCATAACCTGATTTTACACCGCACTGCCATCGCGAAGTCAAAACCTCAACAGTCGTGTCTTGTATCAAAACCGAGTTGCGTAATTTTCTGGTTAGTGAGCAACAACTTTCTCTGGAACTGCAAAAAACTGATCAACGCTTGATGCTTTTATCGATACATTCTGTGTTATCCCACGCAAAGTAATCGATGATGTAACAGTTTACATTTTGATTAATTACAAATTACCGCAAAAATGTACTGAGTACAACAGATCATTTTCCAGAGACAAAATAAGAATTTATAATGTCATTTAATCAATCGTCTTAGCATACATTTTGACACACTTCTCTTTTACGCTCGCAGATGACAAAAACATTCAAGATTTGGAATTCTATCAGGTATTTGTGAGACCCAGATGCTTTCCAGGTTAAAGAGGATCTTTCATTTGCTAGATCATTGCAGATTTTTTCTCATGAACAGACCATTTTTCTCATAACAACTCCGTCGCTGTCGTAATAATGCCTTTGGGGTACTGTTATCATTTCAAGAAAATAAATAGCCGTGGTCCATTTTAGTATGCGAGAAAGTTTTGCTTCTTTCGTCTTAGGTTGAGATCCAATTAGTGTTATTAATTGTAAATGTTTGTGCGCCATTGATACAAAATGTATAAAATAATGTTAATTAACAGATCCAGCATCTCAAATTCTAAAATACTTGCAAATCTAGATATGTTTTCCGCTTCTCGTTTGAAAGTACATCCAAACATAATAAAAAAGCTTTTATAAAGATGCTCCCCGACCGAGATACATGGTGTTGAAGTTTTATTTACGAGGTACTGTTATCATTTCAAGAAAATAAATAGCCGTGGTCCATTTTAGTATGCGAGAAAGTTTTGCTTTTTTCGTCTTAGGTTGAGATCCAATTAGTGTTATTAATTGTAAATGTTTGTGCGCCATTGATACAAAATGTATAAAATAATGTTAATTAACAGATCCAGCATCTCAAATTCTAAAATACTTGCAAATCTAGATATGTTTTCCGCTTCTCGTTTGAAAGTACATCCAAACATAATAAAAAAGCTTTTATAAAGATGCTCCCCGACCGAGATACATGGTGTTGAAGTTTTATTTACGAAATTTAAAAAAATATATATCTACGGAGCAGGTAAAGACACTGAGTTAGAATTTTAGACTTTCAGTGAGCACATCATCAGCAATAAGCACACAGTTTCCTGGCCCAAACTAAAACAGGGACCTAGAAACTGGGACCCTTATGGGAAACAGTTTCTATGCCATTGGCAAAAAGAGCATTTTATAAAACACCATTCAATATTTTATAAATTTTGTCTCCTAAGGAATTTGTGTCAAATCACTCGTTTTGATGATACTGAGGTTGAGATAATATCCTAAAATATTCTTATGGAAAGGTTTAGCATCTCCTGAAAACACCATGAAGCTTGAAACACTATATGGCATGTGAAGAAAGCTATGGCACCTCATTACAACAATAATCGAATAATATACGTGCCTTATCCTCAATTAAACCTTGTCTATGCACGCCACTGGTTTTCATGGTATAATTCTCCTGGAATTACCCATGTTAGATTCTTCTGTTTGTCTAAAATCACAACTAGTAATTGTGGAACCAATCAATTTGAGTAAATTCTTATTAGTTTACTTCTGAAATTAACGGACTTTTATTTTGTCAAAATTCTTCAGCATTTCGAATTAAGTGAGCTCAACAAAGAAGATATCACAAATTGTCGGCAACCTCGGACACGAAGAATGAGGACGAAGTATACAGAAGGCTATCAACACTGTTCGTACTACGCCACGTATTTTCCAAAAAGTTAGCGAGTCGTTGTGGCGTAGAGCACAGTCTTTAAATGACCACGTTGTATCAAATTAGTTTATTGTTGTCACGTATAATTCTTATTAGCTTTATTTATTTTTGAGATAAACGTTTTCGTTGTATGTATGGTGAGCTTCTACGCTACTGATTTAGGATAAGACACGCATATTATAAAATCAATGTTGCAATGAGGTGCCCATAGCTTTCTTCACATGCCTGTTTTCAGAATCAAGCTCCACCGTGTTTTTAGAAAAGGGGAAGCTAAACTTTTCCATAAGAATATTAGGATTTTACCTCAAATATTCAAATTATCTCCAAAACGAGTGATCTGACAAAATGATATTTTATAAAATGCACTTCTTTTCTCCGAAAATGTCAGTGGCGTAGAACATGATTTCTATTAGCGTCCCAGTTTCTACGTTCCTAGTTTAGTGCGTGATTATTGCTTAGGATGTGTGCTCACTAAACATACAAAATCTTAACTCGATCCATGGATATAATTTTGTTTAATTTAATATATAAAACTTTATCACCCTGTAACTAGGTAGGAGAGCATCATTGGACCCATAGTTATGGGAACTCTTTTGTTAGTTTTGGATGTACTGTCTACCCTAGAACTACTGTATGTCTTTCTGAAGCACCCTGTATAAAAATATTAACATGATCAAGATATGATTGCAGTCCCACTCTATGTCTGTCGCTGCTGACCGGCAGATCGACGGTGGCTGGGAAAAGATGACACGACGCCAAGACGCCAATGCTCTCAACCGATTCAACGCAGCGCAATAAGACGTTATATTTGTTTGTTACTTAAGATTGTTGGAATATATATTTATTACTGCAAGTAGTATTGATCGACTAGCGGCTCACCATCCTAGACAACATCAGAAGTGTGTGTTTTACGGTGGTTCCCAATTTTAGCAAATATTCTGCAGGCTGTTGTTTGCTCAGAGATTGGACAAGATGCCAAAGCAAAAGCAAAGGAAATCCAGAAAACGAAGTAGAAGAGAACCTTCCTCGTCTTCAACAACCAGTAGTTCTTCCGGCAGTTCTAGCAATAGTAATGGGCATAAACATAAGAGATCCAGGTGTAAGTCAAGGGAAACCGTGAGTAGCGAACATTATTCTACTTTTACGAGGGCCGATCAGGGAATACATATTTCGATGGTAATTCCAGAATTTGATCCGAAAATTAATGACATATCAGAGTGGTTAGAGGTTATCAAATATAATGCAGATATTTACAAGTGGCCTGATAGCCTTATTAAGTGTCATGCTTTGAATAAACTCAAGGGTACAGCCAAAACCTGGTATGACAGTTTCATTCAGGGTGACTTGGGGTGGTCTAGTTATGCTTGGGGCCAGTGGGAGGATATATTGAAAAATACATTCCAGAGTACACGTAATGCTTATCAACTGTTGATGGAAATGGTAAATCATAGACCCAGCGAAGGTTGTTCGTTATATGATTTTTGTTTTGAACACATAGCGAGAATAAATAAGTTACGAGTAGGATTTTCAGATTGTGACAAGGTATCATTAATTATAGGTGCTATAAATGACGTTAATATAACATCAGCTGTGGAGGCAGCAAATATTCGAAATCCTCATATTTTGGCGGCATATCTGAAGAACAAAACTTATACTGGTAGGGGCAAACCGTTAAAATCAGAGGTGCAACAGTCAATCAATCAAAGTGGTCGATTGGGAGCATCTGACAATATAGTCCGGTCAAGTACGATACATCAAAATGTAAATTGCACCACATGTGGCAACAGAGGTCACGAGCGGAATGATTGTAAACATAGAAATAAGATATGCAATTTTTGCAGAATTAAGGGGCATATTGAGGTGAATTGTTTCAAGAAACGAAAGAACTCAAGTGAACCAGGCAGATGGGATAATTCAACTAAGTCTTCAAAAGTAAAACAAAAAATTGAACAGGTCAAATTAATTAAAAGTCAGAATAGTGCTTCAAAATTTTTCAAAAAAATATTTCTTGATGGGAATTTAATAGAAGCTTTTGTGGATTTTGGTAGTGATTGTTCTCTAACAAAATTGGCAATAGTGCAGGAGCTAGGGTTAACGTTGAAACCTCTTGGGGAGAAGGTAACATTGTCAGGATTTATGGGTATAGGGACTGTTGTTACGCAATTTGTTGAGGTAATGACCCAAATTGATCAGGTGAAACTTAATACAAAATTTTATGTGGTTTCTAATGAAAGTGTAGACAATGATGTTCTTGTTGGGAGAAATTTCACAGAAAATAATACTATTATGTATTATCGTATAGATGACAAGTTGATATTCAAAATAAAGGACAAAAAGCCACAGTGGTTGCAAAATGTCAAAACAGGGGTGTTGTCAGAACAAGATAATAAGACTCTGCAGGATATTCTAATTCAATATCAAGGTTGTATATTTTTGAATTTGAATAATTTGGGGAAGGCACACTCTGTTTCATTAAAAATAGAGTTGGTCAATGACAAACCAGTCACTCATAAGGCCTATCGATTAGCAGAGATAGAAAAACAAATCATGAGAGGTAAGGTACAGGAACTTTTGGAGGCTAAAATCATACGTGAAAGTAATTCACCATATGCCAGTCCTGCTCTTCTGGTCAATAAAGGAACTAATGACAAACGACTAGTTGTCGATTACAGGGCGCTAAACAAAATAACTGTTAAAAATAATTTTCAAATGCCATTAATCGAAGAAATTATTGATAATTTGAGTGATTACAAGTATTTTACCTCGCTTGACCTAGCATCAGGTTACCATCAAATACCGATGGAGCCTGCTTCAATGAAGTATACAGCGTTCATAACACCTGAAGGGCATTTTGAGTACGTTCGTATGCCGTTTGGGCTTTGTAATGCCCCATTGGTATTTCAGAAATTTATGAATGAAATCCTTATGCCTTTAAGAAAATTTAATGTGGTTCCTTATTTGGACGACATCTTAATACCGTCAAAGACTATAGAGGAGGGGTTAGATTTATTGCCTAAGGTACTGAAAATTGTACAGGAGTATGGTATTGTAATAAAAATCGAAAAGTGTTCTTTTCTTACAGAGAAGATAGTTTATCTAGGATATCAAATCTCATACAATCAAATATCACCATCCAACCTGAAAATTGAAGCGGTGGAACAATTTCCTTGTCCTAAGACACAACATCAACTGAGACAGTTCTTGGGTCTCGTCGGCTATTTTCGGAAGTTCTTAAAAGATTTTGCGCGAATTACCGCCCCATTGACGAAGCTATTAAAGAAAGGAAGTCGGTGGTCTTGGACAGAAGTTCACACACAAATAGTCAAAGATTTAAAAGCCAAAATTTGTGCAGAACCTATTTTGGCAATATTTAATCCAAAAGCACTGACAACCGTATATACGGATGCTAGTCGTGATGGTTTTGCAGGAATTTTGATGCAAAGTACAGATGGTAAAGAGAGACCAATAGCGTATTTCAGTAGGCAAACTAATACCGCTGAGAAAAATTATCATTCTTTTGAGTTGGAACTATTAGCAATAGTCAAAACTTTGGAACGGTTCAGATTTTATTTAGTAGGCTATCAGTTCCAAATTTTTACTGATTGCAATGCGGTAAAGAACGCATTATCTAAGCAGTCGATAATTCCAAGAATTGCTAGATAGGTCTTGTCTTTACAAGAGTTTTCTTTTACCATTCACCATAAAGCAGGTACTCAGATGCAACATGTAGACGCACTTAGCCGAAACTTTAATGAATCTCAAAACAAAGCACAAGTCCTACTCATCCAAGAAGATGACTATCTCAGGGAAGCACAGGATCAAGATGAATCCATAGTGGAAATTAAAAATATTCTTTTAAGTGGGGATGTTCAGAGTCACAAAGATGTTTTTAATAATTACGATTTAAGGGGGAACAAAGTCTATAAGTTAACACCTTATGGGAGAAGATGGGTAGTCCCAAAGAAGTGTAGATGGCAAATCGTCAAAGCAAACCATGACGATATAGGTCATTTTGCGGTTGATAAAACGTTAGAGAAAATTAAGCAACGGTATTGGTTTCCCAGAATGAGGCATTTCATAACAAAATACATAAATGCATGTTTACCTTGTTTATATCATAAAGATAAAGGGGGCAAAAGACCCGGGTACCTTCACTCCATCCCAAAGTATGCTAGACCACACCACACACTACATATAGATCATTTAGGACCTTTTGTGAACACAAAACAGGGAAACAAGTATTTAATAGTTGTTGTTGATGGCTTTTCGAAATTTGTGTATTTAAAAGCAGTTCCTGATACATCTGCAAAATACGTAATTCAAATGTTAACTGAAATGTTCGCGATGCTCGGTAACCCAAGACGACTCATCACGGATCTTGGATCTGCGTTTACTTCAAAGGCCTTCGAGGAATTTGTTGCTGCAAGAGGGATACGGTTATTTACAACAGCTGTTGGTCTCCCAAGAGGCAATGGTCAATGTGAGCGGACGAACAGAACAGTTCTAGACGCTTTAGCAACATCTGGTTCGCAAACAAGTGAAGACAATTGGGATACTAATCTTTCACATATACAACAAGGACTGAATAGTACTAGACACCGTATTACACAAAACACGCCCGCAGAAGTAATGTTTGGTTTCCAACTACGGACTGATAGTGACAAATACCCTGATGACGATATGGAAACAACTCTAGATGTTACAAAAAAAACCGAAAAGAGACAGCCAAACGTCTGGAACACAATAGAATCGAACAAGATTTAAAATTTAACACTAAACGTTCTCTACCTAGGTTGTACCAGGTGGGAGATGTGGTATTAACTAAAGTAACCAGCTTTTCAGCGAATGAAGACAGTAAAAAGTTACGTCCTAAGTTTAGAGGACCATTCAAGATAGTTGAGGTTCTACCCAATGACAGGTATAGAGTGCAAGAAGATCGTTTCACACAGAGGTCAAGGCGACCATATCAAGCTGTGGTAGGTGTGGAACACATGAAACCCTTCAAAGTTCAAAATCAATAAGGTGAGTAATGAACTACTCAAATGTTACGCCCTCAATGGCATCTGTTCTGCTCTCAATGGCAAATGTTACGCCCTCAATGGCATCTGTTCTGCTCTCAATGGCAAATGTTACGCCCTCAATGGCATCTGTTCTGCTCTCAATGGCAAATGTTACGCCCTCAATGGCATCTGTTCTGCTCTCAATGGCAAATGTTACGCCCTCAATGGCATCTGTTCTGCTCTCAATGGCAAATGTTACGCCCTCAATGGCATCTGTTCTGCTCTCAATGGCAAATGTTACGCCCTCAATGGCATTGTTCTGCTCTCAATGGCAAATGTTACGCCCTCAATGGCATCTGTTCTGCTCTCGATGGCAACTGTTACGCCCTCAATGGCAAGTTTTGCTCTCGATGACGAATGGTCGTACTCGATAGCAAATGGTGTTGATGGCAATAGGTATAGGTGTTTCCTAAATAACTTAATATTTTCAGACGTTCGGGACGAACGTGACGTCAGGATGGCCGTGCAGTCCCACTCTATGTCTGTCGCTGCTGACCGGCAGATCGACGGTGGCTGGGAAAAGATGACACGACGCCAAGACGCCAATGCTCTCAACCGATTCAACGCAGCGCAATAAGACGTTATATTTGTTTGTTACTTAAGATTGTTGGAATATATATTTATTACTGCAAGTAGTATTGATCGACTAGCGGCTCACCATCCTAGACAACATGATGAACAGTTTTTGCAAATAAGACCCTGGTAGGACGATCACAGTCATTCAGGTCTGGAGAAAAATTTCAATTTGAGCTAGAAGCGGCGTAGTAATCAGAGCGAAATTCCAAAATTAGAATGAAGATATGGAGTAGGCTGTAATCACGCTTTCGTTTGTAATGATTTTTGAAATTATTTTGTAGGTCCACCAGTAAGATGTTCGCCTTGACACTGGCTTGATATTTTCTTAACATGTTTTCTTTTTATTTAATGTGTTGTATTTGATAGTTAATTTGAATACACTAATCAATCAATCAATCGTTGTGAACGCTCGTAGTGTACAGTCGTGTTTTGCATCTCTTTCGATTTGATTACGGTTTCATAGTGTATAACCGGCTTATAATTATTTTGATTCTTTGTTGTGAGTCTCCCACACGTTAGGAACAGTTTCTGAGTAGTTTCATTGGCTTCGTATGTTGTGCTCATATACTACAAAACAATTCAATTTTCTTCTGCCGAGCGACCATTTCTGGTGCAACAATTTTGTTGACCTTGAACTAGAATCCTCCTTTTTGCGTATCACCTGATAAAGAAGTAGTAAAGCAAAGTAGCTGACTGATTTATTTCGTGGCTCTGTGGTCTACTCACGGAGGCTCTGAGACGATTCCTTTCATTATTTCTATTCCTTATCCTATCCGTGGTCTACCTCTTTGTGTGAGTCTCTATTATCGACCCAATAGAGTGAAGTGCGTCTTCCTGTACCCTCTCCCTTCCTATAACTTGTTGATAATTAACAATGAACCAAGATTGCGCTACATGTTCCAACTTAATTGGCACTTCTCAAGTGCATATCCTATGCTCCAAGTGCCTGAAAAGTCACCACGCTAATTGTGTTAACCTGACCACTAAAGAGATCGGCTATTTCGCCGAAAACGGTGACAGCAAATGGGTTTGTTCAGCATGCTGTAGACGTGGTAGAGTCACTCGTAGCAACTCGTCGTCCTCATCAACTAGTGCTCGACCAGCGGTCTCCCCTCATCGGTCTGACGAAGCGACTGCTTCTGATCCTCTAGCACTCATTTTGTGTCAATTGTCGACCATGGCCAATGACATTAGAGACATCAAAAACTCACAAGCACAACTAAGCAACGATGTCTCCCATTGTATGTCATTGCTACAACAGCATTCGGCTTCTATTGTTCGCCCTGACGAACTGATCTCTAATTGTGAGGCTAGTATTCAGCAACTCCAAAGTGCGCAAGCATCTATCTTATCCAACATTTCGAACGTTGAATCTAGACTGACCAATGCACTGGTAAATGATAGATCGTTGAATACCAACGCTAACAATATCCCATCATCTCCGACTGAAACTTGGGAAATATTCAGACGATCTCACAATATTATCCTGAAAGGTCTTCCTGAAGGCAACAATGATTCTGATTCCGTAACAGACATAATCAACCACATCGAACCGTCTGCTAATGGATACCGCCTCAACATGACCAGACTTGGTGCTGTAGGTACATCTCGTCCTCGGTTGATAAAGGTTGGCTTTGTATCGCCTATAATAGCTAAGAATATTCTACGCAAGAAGAATGATATTTTAAGCCACTCTACCTATAACTCCGTTAAAATTTTGGACGACAAAACACCGACACAAATGCATGAGCTGCAGCAACTACGTGAGGAGTTGAAACGAAGGCTAACGGCTGGAGAACGCAATATCACGATTAAATATGTCAAGGGTAGACCATCCATTGTCAATATTGTTGCACAGCAATCTTCTGTATCAAAAAACTGCTAACCGAGGTGTCGGTGTGCTACACAAACATTCAGTCACTGGTATCTAAACTTCTCGAAGTGCAAGCATTTGTTGATGGAACCAAACCTTCGTTTCTTTGTCTGACAGAAACCTGGCTCAGCCCTAATATACCTGACTATGTTGTTAATTTGCCTGGTTACTGTTTGTATAGGGAAGATTCCCCTAGCACGCCGGGGTATTGTGGGGTCTGTGTTTATGTACGTACCGAATTCGCTGACAATTTCACAATAACTACTACCTCCAAGAGCTTCGATGGTATCGACAGTCTCTTTTTGGAACTAACACGGCCAAACTTCAGTTTTGTATTAGCCTGTATCTACAGACCGCGTCCCTGTGCTGGTGATGTTTATTTGTGTAAATTCATCGAAGAACTTCTAACCAAGAATTCAAACATTCTGTTAACTGGTGATTTCAACTTACGTGACATCAGCTGGCCCATGACAACATTACCAGAATGCAACTCTCCTTCTGCCCCTTATATTGATTTAATGCGTAAGTCGAACATCCTCCAACTCGTAGATCATCCGACGAGATTCAGAGAAGGCCATACTCCCAGAACTCTCGACCTGATATTTGTAAATGATCCTGACTTTGTTTCCAGTCTAGACTACCTACCTCCTTTTGGCAAGTCGGATCACTGTACCTTATTGACCTCACTTCAATTCTATGTACAAACTCCATCACGTAGACATTTCAAAACTGTGAAGCTATTAAACTACAGTGCTCTCAATCGAGCATTGTCTGAAATAAACTGGTCCAACCTGCTTGCACAACGTAGCACTGAAGATATGTGGGATATATTCTCTCGTCGAATCCAACTGGAAGTCACCATTATGCTATGAAAAATGGCTGTTTATGTGTTCTATTTCAGACTCTTAATTCTAATGTAATCATCCGTGTTGAGGGATAATGTGATACAGAAGGCTGCCATTCAATATAAGTGCAAATCATTGATCTAGGTTACTTGATTAGAAACATAAATAATTCATAGCTATCTATCGGTGATGTTTTCGATATTTTATTAGAAACCATGAACGTGTACGCCAGTAATCAATGAATCATATTCAAAGCAATGCCGTTAACGTACGTACGTTCGGAAATATCCCAAATATTTTAGGATTCTTGCTCTATTTATATTCCAACACAAGCGCTGATGTTTATGCATCCTTTTTCGTTAACAAACGGAATTAGTGCTTGCTGTGATGCAAATTCTGGTCTTGACTATTTATAAGAAATGTAGCTCAGTCTGTATTCTGTTTTGTATATATACCTCAAGGATTTAATCTAAGGCCACTGTCAGGAGCTTGTTTAATATCCAAAATTTGTATATGTAAAGTGCCAATGTAAGTCCTTAACAGTGCTTCTGATGATGTTCTAATACAAATTCGTAAAATTATCGCAATTTTCTAAAAGTGCAAGCTTTGATGAAGGCATCGATTGACATATTCTACCAAAAGACATCCAGTCACTTTAAAATCATAGGTGCTCAAAAGCAAGCTTATGAAATGTGGTGCAGCCAACCACTATGCTTACAATTATAGAGGTAACAATCATCGTCTTCACCTCATTTGTAGTGCCGTTCAACAGACTTAGGTCTTATCTGTCGTATTATAGTGGAATATGGTAAAATTCAACAAACTGTAATATGTATTCACGTAATATGAGAGGTGTGAATTTTATACCGTTCGATGCATTTGCTTAAATCCCTGGCGGATAGATGCTGGTTATAGCTGAAAAATAGCATTTCCAGGACTCGGCCCCATCGCCTAACTTGGTTATAGACCAGGGACATTACATACAGATTCTGCATTTACCGATTTATTAATTCGACCACACGCAGAATGTTAATAGTTCGCTTATTGCACTGAAAATTAGCTATTAAATTGATCAACGATTGGGCTAAATATAAATAGTCCATAAATAGCAGTCGAAAGTATAACAAGATCTTAATTGTTATCATGACATTCAAAGACATGTGAACATGTTCAGATTCAGAAGATGCATTCCTTACGTTTCTGATGAAATATTTAGCAGATATGAATGACTTTTGAGCTTTTCAAAATTTGTTGTTTTACAACCCTATTCTCATGCTTTCTCCTATATTCCCTTTTCAATAATTTTAGATAAATGTTCTTACTTGTACTTGTGCGAGCCTAAATTATCTGCACTAGACACTGCCCCAGGCTATTTAATCTCCTTGATGCGACGGTGCGAACTTGGAGTGTCGGCTGGCTGTAAAACCGTGCGATTTTCTAGCCCGGCGTCGTCATCGTGTCATCTCATTTCGTCCGAGTACCAGCGGCCAAAGCAGATCTTTGTACGTCTGTTTATTTATAGGGGTAACGTGACCTGGAAAGGCTGCGGCCGCGGCCGACGTGTCCTGTGGGATTCTCTTCTCTCTAATGTAATTTATTTCATTCGGCCAACGAACACCAAACACACAGACACCATCATCTTTACTACGATACGGTGCTCGGTTTTTATGAGCAGAGGCGATCTATGCTCTTTACTTTTCTAATGAATGATGAATGCACTCTCTAATGCATAAAGCTGATGTTTGGATGAAACAAAACATCTACGTTTTTTTTTTCTTCCCGGGAGTCGTCCAGCCAAAGTCCCCGATGGCACTGCAGCCGCTTAGGCTTCGGCTCCTCGAAGTTATAGTACCCAAATCCAGCAGTCGAGGCGTCTGGACCACTTGGTACAGTTTCCCTCTAAGCTCTAAGTACTCTCGTTTCTAATTTTGGTTTCCCTAAGGTTTGGTAAGACATGTAGGGCTGATTCAGTTCATTCTGTTCCATTTCCGTATTGTCTGCAGCTGAGGTCTCCATCATGCGAACCTATTTTGAGCAGGTGTTCTTTCAGGCCATTGTGTCATGTTAGAAGTCCTGTAACTACACGGAGTTGGTTTCTGCTCATTGAGAGCAGTTCTGCAGCCTTGTCCCGAGATAAATTCTTTCCCATGCCTGCATCCAGTCACTAAGAGCCAATATTCCTTATTTCCTTGTGCCGGTTTCTTACCCATTCTCTGACCTGGTTCCTTGGCAAAGTTACTTTGTTGTGTTCCGCCAGTAAATTTAGTTCTTGTTGGCATTCCCAAATCAGTGCAGATGTTACTCCAGGACTTAATGCTATGACTGACATCTGACTCTCAGTGCATATGGCGATCCTTTTATTATTATACACTCGCTCATTATTTGCTCTTGCGCAATGCAAGATTGCATACACTTCTGCCTGAAATACAGAGGTGTGTCTTCCAAGTGGTATACTATGCCCAGGATTGCACCTATTCTCTGCTGTTTTTGATCCGCGGAACAGGTATTTGTCCTTGTAGGTTGTGCTTTTGGTGTTCCGTTCGATCTCCCATTTTGGTCTCGAAGTTCTTTTTGTATACAAATCTGGGTACTACGTACAGTAATGGACAAAAGTATATAGACATATATGAATATTTACCTAAATACCTTTAGAAAACGAATTTCATACTTCATTGCTCCATAAACAAATGCGTTATTAGTAGAAAAACTAAATTCCTTGTTTTTACATTATCTGCAATGAACACAATACAAGTCTGAATATAGGTAAGCACTTTTTTATGAGGGACAAACATATGTAGACAAATTCTTTTCAACATTAGTTTAGTACAGTTTCGTGTCAGAAGAGGGTTAGTTTGTGTTCATCAAGTATTGTGGAATAAGTTCAGTGATTTTAAGACCATGCCGCGTGGTCCACAAATTTCTTTCGATGTGAAAACTAAGATCATTGAGTTGTACAAAGATGGTCAACGTCAAGTCGACATTGCCAAAAATTTGAAGCTGAAGCGTAAAGCAGTTTGGGCAATATTGAACAAATATAAACAAAAAGGTATCTTGGAAGCCTCTAAGAGAAGTGGTCGGCCTAGAAGACTAAATGCTAGATCAGTTAAATTAATATAAGTAATTTCGTCCAAAGATCCGTTTAAACCCCCAAGACAAATATAAGCCGAAATCGAGACAAAAGGAATTGTCAGTGTGTCTACGAAAACTATAAGTAGAAGATCAAATGATTTGAAGTTATTTGCACGTTGCCTGAGTAAGAAGCCGCTAATCTCGAGGAAAAACCGTAAGGACCGATTACAATTTGCACGGTTGTACATATCTTGATTGGAGCATCTGTGACTGGAAGAGGGTATGTTTCAGTGACGAATCCACATTCAATATGTTTGGATCAGATGGTGTTCATTACGTTAGGCGTCCTAGTGGACAAAGATTGAACCCCAAGTACACTTTGCCCACTGTCAAACATGGAGGCGGATCTGTTATGGTTTGGGGGTGCTCTTCGAGGTTTGGGATGGGACCTTTATATAGAATAGATGGCATTATGGATAAGTTTGTATACACAGACATACTAAAGCATGTCATGTTACCCTATATGGAAGACAATATGCCCTTAAGATCAATCTTCCAGCAAGATAATGACCCGAAGCACACTTCAAATCTCGCAAAGAAATTCTTTCTGGATGAAAAAATACCAGTTCTCAAATGGCCTTCACAGTCCCCCGATATAAACCCCATTAAAAATCTATGGGAATACTTAGATAAGCAAATACGAGATAAAAATTATTCAAACAAGGATGAACTTTTTGCCGCTTTAGAGCAAAAGTGGAGACATATTGATGAATCTTATATCAAGAAACTTCTACAATCTATGGCGAGGCGATGCCAGGCGGTGATTGATAATAATGGTTACGCTACAAAATATTAACAGAAACATGGTTGGTTTTCTATAATTCAATGAACTTTGCTTCTTTTTTCTATAATTGTTTTGGTTTGTCTATATATTTTTGTCCTTCATAGTTTTTTTTCAATTAATTTTTTATTGAAGGGAGTCTAATGAATTTATTTAACGAATTATGTATACAGGTTGGTGTATTAATAAAACAAGTTCAAAAAGAAATACAGCACAATATTAATTTGTCTATATACTTTTGTCCATTACTGTATGTAACATCTCCGTAGTGGAACCAGCAGGCATTCTGTGATAATTGGTACACTTTCCCAGCCGGTTGGTCGGTTCACTCTTTGTCTAAGATTTCCTTTACAACATTGTTTGCAGTTGAAGTCTTTATCATTGTGTAAACGGTATTTATAGATTTCAGAGTCTTTTGTAACTATGAGAAACTGTTTTAGTTGATTCTGCCGTACCCTGTATGTAGTTGGCTCCTGCTTATTGTTGTGTAGCAGTTTTCGGACATGGTTCCAAGAGTTTTTTGAGCCTACATGCAGATACTACATTCTAGATTCTTCTACTGTTTTTAATGTGTCGTTATGTTTCTTGGCCAGGTTTCTTATAGGCTCATAAGAAGAGTACTCAAAAAACGTTTATTAACACAGCACTTTTCGATGTGTATGTACATTCTGTTATAAAAAGAAAACGTCTAGTTTCTTTCGCCTACAACAAAAAACATCATGTCATAAAAGAATTTATGCGGATTGTGTGGCAACCTGCAGGTATCCCATGACCTTCAGTTGGACCTCCATCTCATTGTTAGAACATGGTTATATCCTCTGATGCGCTTTCCAAATCCCGCTACAGCGGATTTGGCAATTTTTTGTTTTCTACTGTCGCTTCATCCTTGTCATTAGTTTCGCACGTTAACAAAAATCACATTCACGGATAAACTATGAAATTTTTGTAAGCGTACCTTTTTACCCGTTACTTTGCTAATACGATTATACTATTTAGATTATCATCTTTTGAAAATCAGTTGCTTTTGTAAACTATATCGAAATATTATTGTTATTATCATCAGATCATCATCTAATTTACAACACTAATTATTCAAGTAGATAAAATTGTAAATAAGAGGAAACATTGATAAAAAGCAACGTTTCTAGGAAATTTTTAAATCTTATCCATTGTCCTTTCAAAACAGATGCTTCTGTGAACCTGAGTAAGTAAGGATACATGATATGCTTCGATAAATAAAAATCACTCGAGATTTGAGTATTTCTTATCAGAACAACAGTAGAATTTTCATCCAAGGATACTACAGCTCAATATTCATAAGATAATCTAAATGTTATACTTTATATGTCTAATATTAACACTATCATCAGACAAAAGCAGTCAAATCCTTAACCAATCCTTTTCAAAAAAGTATTGCTTAAATAATTGATCCACAAAATTAAAAATGCGGTTGCAGTTATAGTTCTCTAAGCTCAAAAAAAATTCCTCTAATACTAAATGAAGCAGAATTCCCAAATCAATCAGTTGCAAAGCTATGAATGGAAATTTACTCGGGCTGATTTCACGCGAAAATTGAATTCATAATCACACATTCATAATGAATGTTATCACGTTGACAGCTTGCATAAATTACTATCTATACTTACACGCAACTTGACACACGGCTACAACTGAGTCTCGGCGATCACGCGGATTCAGTTAAACTAAAAAAAACGACATGAACGGACCAAAATATGTAAACGTAAAAATGGTGACGCCACCATCGCAAAATCTGCCTCGTAGCCAAGTCGGTGACGTCTTACAAGGAATGTCTAAAAAACATCGTCCAGCGTTGATGATATTTTTGAAAAAGAATAACCCGTTAAATCGTCGGTGGAATAGATGATGATACATGTAGCAGCGACAAAACAAATGAGCGCGGATTCCTTGGCAAATCGTCGTCGCACGAATGACTCATAAGAGCATTTTCGTAAATTTGGTTGAAGTTTGTTGTTACAGCTCGCCAAAATGGACCCTGAACACAAGCGCGCCAGCAATATTTTTTCTTGTGAAGGGTTCTACATCAGCCAACATTATTTCCTGTTTATCATTGAAATCCACTTTATTATGTTAAAAAATGGTGGCAAGAAGATTGATTATAATTCACACGGCTTTCAAACAACAACAAATGTAGTGCAAGGCATCCAAAAGACGTGGATTTTACCAGAAACATTAGTGATTGGGAATTTCATATTAAAAAATTCCCTCAGATTGCAGCAATGAACTTGTCCATACATGGTAGCTTTATTTCTTTGTAGGTCTAGTGTATGAAATATCTGTTGATAGAATGTCTGAGCAGACCTTCCAAGTTATAGAGGGGCCAAGGATTAGCGTTCAGACCGACGGACAGACAGACGGTCAGTTAGATCGACGGAAATGATTGACTTGTTTCCAAAGAACAGAATATCTCATTTTTTGAATTTTTCGTGATTACAATACTTCCTTGCTAGTGGCGTAACTAAAATAGAGTCCCCTAAAAAAGATAAAGAAAGAGAAAATAGTACATTAGAAAATTATAACTAGACAAAGTAAACAAGTCATCTACACATGTCGTATAAGATCCATAACAAATGATATGTTATTTTCGAAATATATATACATACTTTCTCGCCAGTAGGCGTGGGAAATAAAAAGGGTTTTTATGAAAAGCACTCTAGCTCAAAACAGTTACAAAAGTGTGCTGATGAGTTATAATAACGAGCTAGCTCTCTACGACCAGATTAGTTAACATATTCAAATCATGACAGATCATTTTTTGTTAGTCAGTTTAGGCAGCGCGGTGACGTAGTGGTAGTCTCTACTATTCAGTTGCCGTGAGCTGCGCGGGTTTGAATCTCGTCCCAAGAGAATTTGTCTTTTGACTGTGGGTGTTCTGATTGTACTCAGGTGGGAGTCGGTCTCGGACTGTCGAACGTGGAGGTACCACCCGCCGGATCTAAAATGTGGAGCTTGGAATGGGTGGATGTCATACGCACGTGTTCCCTAGCGAGAGTGCGTTCGGTGTTGCCTCCCCTTTCCCTATAGTCACTATAGCCCCACGGTACTGAAATCTATTAGATTTACGCTCTTATTTTTGAGCTGGTTATCGAGGTCATCACAAGTAAACACATAATATTAAATTAAAAGAGTGCTAATGCAAAACACAACAATTAACACTAGCTCTGCTCTAAAACAATAATACCTACCTATGTATAGTATAGAAGCAGAAAAATGTGATATTTGTCATATCATTGTAAATATTTTGCATAAAAGCTCCCTCATTTAAAATACGGAATTTTTACAATTTTCTGTAAATTAATTTATAACTTCTTTGGAATTTGTAAACAACTTTTATTTTCAAAGATTGGTACCTAAGTAGTAAACATGGCTGCCGGTACAAGCCACGCTTCTGAGTTCTGAGCAAAGTGAGTGAGCGATGTACATCAAAGGTTACTAATGGTTGCAAAATGTTGTTCCACTCAAGTTGTGCTCAGCTCACTAAAGCTGAAATTCAAATGAAAAAGAGCTGTTATCTTGTGAAAATAAAGATGTAGATGACTGTGACGCAATGTTCTACGACATCCATTGAAAATGTAGAGAACATGAACAAGAAGCTAGATGCTTTTACTCTCAAGTACGTATCATTGAATTCATGCAATCACATTGAATCACTTATTAATAAAACTTCAAGACTCGATCCAAAACATCTACTATAAGAATCTATGATAAAAAAACGGTTGAATGTACTGTAGATGGAAATAAAGATCCAGAAGTTACTGATAACGTGAACAAAAAAAAGGTCAGACAAGTTATCGTCTGCCAAAAACGAAAATTTATATATTTATAAAATAAAAATAATTATAGTGGTGAGACTGCTATAAAAAGTTACATTTTCGGAAAAGGACGTAGCGGCAATCATGAAAGTGTGCAGAAATGCTACCATGGAGCAGCGTTACATAAATATACACAACGATACTACAAGTAATCAAAACATTGAGCTCATAGGCATATTAATAATAAATGATGAAAAGTCAAACAAAAAATAGGGGGCGTGCGTAGCATCGTGATAGGAAAAAATGAGAAGTCTACAATAAAGAGCACCTTTACGTAGATAGGGTGTCACTCCAAGCAACAGCAAATGATATGGCGAATTTGCTGAAATCCAACTTTCCTGAGGTTACAAGTCTAAGCATCATGCATCATATGCATCCTTCAAAGTGGGAGTACATGAATTAAACTTCAAGGCTGGGATGCTGAAGTTTGGCCAGCGAATACCTACATAAACCGTTTTTTGGAGACCCAGCGGAGGGTGAGCTACAAAATGAATTAGTAGACTCAAACTTGATTTTTCCCAGTTGAAAACTGTCAAACTTAAACTTCAGCGTTGACCATTTAAATATTCAGTCAGTAAGAAATAAAATAAATTTGTTAGATGCTTTCTTTATAGACAGTTTGATATATGGTGCAATTTGTCTGTCAGAACATTTTTTAAATGCCGACGAACTAGCCAATTTTAAACTTACTGGTTATAATACTCTTGCGGAGTTTTCGGGAAAATCAGTACTGCATGGTGATGTGTTAAATTTGTGTAGTTAACGTTATATAACCAGGGAGAGGAAGTATTTGTGTGCATTATCAATTGAAAAAATATTTGAAATAAGTGCGACTGAAATATGTGAAATATGTGTGTTAGTAATAGCCAAAATACTGACTTTAAGGACGTTTGCCAATCCGTGAACAGTCTGTTAGATAAACTAAAAAATCCAAAAACAAGATCATCATCGCAGGTCATCTTAGTGTAAACTTTTAAAATGACAATCACATGTTACTGTATGTTAAAGATTGATAAAAGTTACACATAATCGCAAGAAAAACAAATATTGTCTGGTTCTCTCCTGAACTAAAAAAACTAAGATCATCTGCAATTGCTGTTTGAAACGTGTAATAATGGCCCTTCAGCAGATTTAATTGCTTATAAAAAGAACTTTCGCACTTATAACAAGTTAAAAATAAATGAAGCCAAGCAAACAGCAAATGACTTTCACATTCAGAATGTCACAAATATGGGCATGTTGACAGGTAATAAACAGAAAAAGAAGCAAAAACATTGATCAGCATATTAATATAAAACCTAAAATATTTAACAACCGTTTGTTATCAAAACGTAACACTTTTTCTTTAAAAACCTGAGACGAAGGAGCTCCATTGTCATTTGAGTATTATTTCCAATCAGAAAGAAGTATTTTTATTAACAGTGAAATAAAAGCTTGTTTTCAAAAATTTTGTTTTATGTATTTTTTACTTTTTAGTGTTTATGACGTCTAATAGCTAGTTCAATAATTTCTATATAATTTTCATATATTTCACTATTATGACTCCATAAAACTTCTTCTTTTATTTGCGTTCGATAGATAAAATCATATAATAATAAATCGATACTTTGCAGTTATTTGTTCATTGTGTTCACTTGTCACTGTTCTTATTGTGTTTCTCTCATTAAGCCCTTTCATTTGATACCCATATGATAGGGGTTACAATGGGAATGATGAATCGTCATTTTATAACATCCGCCATATTGGATGCAAAATGGCGGCGATTAAATCATTTTGTAGAGTCACGCGAACCAAACTTCTGCACAAAACTCAGCTCAATTATTATTAATGTCAATTGGTTCAAAATGCAGTTCCAAGATTTCTCCCACACATAATTAATTATAAGCAGGTCCAGTTAAATAAAAGATAGTATAATAAAATGGGTCACGATTTACGCATTCGTATCATTTTATATATACATTTTCATTGCAAATATAAATAACTCGGTTCTATTTTGTGCTCAATGCTCATTTACATGAGATTTATACCGGTCCATATGTTGTGTTGATATGTGTTTTTCAACAATTGTCTACCGTAGTAACGCATGATTTGTGTGTTGTTTAGTAGTGAAGAACATGCTGTTTTGATATATTTTATCTCCGAAAAAAATAGGACGGCACTTATTATGGATAAACGCAATGAATCGAGATGGCTTACTATATTTTTATTCGTGAACCCACTTCAGAATAAACATAGGCATTGTTTGTGTCTAAGATTACTTTTTGTAAAAATATGTCAGACTATTGAGTGACAACAAAAAAGTTTCATATAGGGAACGTTGGAGGTTCAATACAAGTTTTAAACTGACCAACATCCAATATATAGTCAGGTAAGAGATTATTTCTTATAAATGGGCTACAAAGTATAAAACATTTGCTTTTCACTGTAATATATCGCTTGAAATGGATGATAGAAACAATTTTTAAAGCTAAGAAAATTCTCTTACGCTGAAATTTGCCGAGCAAATATCGACGTGTAGATGGATGTAGAATTGGGGAGTAACTCAATCTTTTCACACAAAGATTGACCTTTAAATATATTGTTTTGTCAGATTGCGAAGGTTTGTCATACTCTGATTAGACAGTTTTATCAGTCAAACCAACATAAGGATGAAATTAATGAGCTGGGCCTACTGCCTAAAATATATAAAGAATACGAAAAATGATAACAATCGTGTGTTCTCATTAACAACACCTTTTTGAAAAGAAGATAGTTCTGTTCCGTACGCCAGTGGTGAAAAACGTATCATCTAAAAATGCGACCCGTAGGTGTCGATTTTGCTGATATTTTTAGCGTGCATATTTTCTCCGTCCGTGGAAAACCACTCTGTTTATTTAGTAAGCGAAAAAAAAGATACGTAATATGTAAAATGTGCGTCACACAGACAACCATTCAATGACTATATGCAACAATGTTTGTCTATCATCAATATTTCGTTTTAGAGCTTCACAAAGAAAATTAAAAGTAATCCCGAAAATTTTGGATAGCTCGAGAATGTTTAGATTGGCGAGGATGTTCGTTCATAGAACGTTAAGCACATCTCTTGGCATAGTGTTAACTATAACTTGAAGTTGAGGTAGTTCGTTAAGAGTATTGTGGCAGTATGGCAATGACACTAGACATTGCGTTTGTATGTAGTGTGAAGATATCAAGATTACAAATGAAAGTGTCGAATCTTCAGTTATGATGACATCACTCTACATGCAGGAATTCAGAGTGAGAAGTCGATATCTGCCGGTGAGCTGGAGAATACAAGACTAGTAGCGACTTTCTCCCTGACGAGAGACCTGGAGCTTATCACTACTTGGGGACCTATCAATCTTTAAAGTTTAATGCTTCCAAAAACACAACAAGATGCATCCTAGCCGAGTTCTATCAAAGAGCTATTCATTTCGGCAGGATGGACTCCAAATCACCGTGGACTTGATCAGGCTCGAACAGATCTCTTCAACAGCAGCAACTGGTGGAAAAAAGCTATGCTACTTGCTTAGGGCTAAAAAGTACTTTTCTCCACATGACCTTCTCACTCTGTAAAAGGTCCAAATAAGACAGCCTCGAGGACTGCTTACATGTTATTTGTGCTGCCGCCCCGACTGCATTTTCCATGCTCGATGCTGTTCGGAGAAGGGATGTCCGTTTTTTCGATGACTCTTCTCTAACTGTCAGATTTCGGCCTCCGATCCTAATCGCGTTGAACTTCGTACAACTAGAACTGGCCGATACGACCGCTCCTTTGTCCCTACGGTTCAATCTACATGAGGAGGCTTTTCCCAGTTCTACTTATCTTAGGAAGTTCGAATATCGGATTAACAAAGTTTCTTTAAGCTCCTCATAGCAACCGCGGTGCCCTGGCATTTAAGGTTCTGCCTGCGCGACTATATCGGCGTGAAAAATGGTTGTTTCTTCACAATGAATTTACATAAATTCATCAGAAGTACTAAGTCAACCAACTTCACTTCTTAACGTCAACAATGGTTATTTGGTTAGGATGGGTTTGAAATATTGTTATAATAAATCACGTACAATGGTTTTGCTTTACAAAGGATGCCAACGACATCTATGTCGTATTTGTTTTCAGTATTACAGTTAAGGGTCATTCAAATACATAAAATAAGTTAGCACAAGCACTACGCAGCGGTAGTATCATAGGGAGGCTGAATCCAGAGCACTGTC